CAGCAGGATTTCGGGCGAGAGCGGCAAATTGAAGGAACCCCCCCCCCCCCCCGTCCACGGCAAAAAGGCGGCAACATTGAAACGCTGGCAGCAAACCGCTGGCGCGGGACTGCTGGATGCACAGTGCAAATTCAAGTTGAGCCCCCAGGTGCGCTTGGCTCAAAAGGCCTGGCTCCGGGCCCAAAAAAGGGGGTCTAAAGCACAAGTCTCGAGCCTGGCGATTTAAGAAACAGTAGCATATCCCCACCGCTCTCCGCAAGCACTGCTTTGCGTCTCTGCCTGGAGCAGGCAGCAGCCCCTCCGCTGCGTCGGGCGAGCGAGGGCCCTTTGCAAACTGTCCCTAGGCAGCCCCTATGCTGCCCTGTACGTTCAACGGGCAAGTTTTTCTTGCAGCTTAAAACACTGCGGAAACGCATACATACAGCCTTCTTAACGCTGCGAGCAAGACCTGAGATGAGGCTTTAAACCACCGACACGGGAGGAGCAGCAGGTGACGGGCGCTGGTGGGACGGGAACGGCTCTGAAACGGTGCGAGGAGAGGTGGCTGGCGCGCGCTCACTGTGATCCCGCCGGCTCCAGCGCGGCCCTGCCTCCGTGCCCTCTCCTATGGGTTTCGCCCCACGCCAGGGTATTTGGCCTCCAAGACGCCGCTGTGAGAGGGAGAGAGAGAGAGATGAAGCGAGCGCAAGGGCAGCTCACGAGCTGCGGTAAACATCACGTATCCCTGTTCAGCTTGCCCAAGAGAGAGCTGAGGAGCACACCTCAGCCCTGATCGTTACGGAGAGCCAAGCTTGCTTTCTTCTGGCATCTGGACCGAGTGCAAGGGAGAGCCAATCTACCCAGGCCAGCTGTGCCCTTGGGGCCACAGCCCAGCAACATTTTATTTTTTTCCTATTTCATTTTCATTTATTTATTTACTTTTTTCATCAGCCCTGCACCGACTCCCGGACTCATGCGGATATACCAGGTTTCTCGGAGTAGTTTATTCCAGGGAGCCCCCCCACCCCGTCAGTGCGATGCAACACCTATAAACCGCACTTCCCATCTGTCAGGTTTATTTTCAAAAAGCCATGTTCTGGCCGCTGATTACTGGGTCTGAAAAATGATCCGCCGTACAGAGGCCTGAGCCAAGGGACCGCGTTTGCGTTGTATCTACAAGCTGCAGAGGGAGACAGGGACACAGATAGCGCTCTTGCTTTCAAGGGAGAGGATGGGGCTACTGAAGCGAGCTGGCAGAAAGCTGCCATGAACGCCCAGAAAACCTGGACAGCTGCCTGCATGTCTTTACGTTACCATCAAGCGATTTGCAACTCTGACCAGGTATTTTCAAGTTGCCCAGAGATACGGGCACCAGCCCAGGGCTGACCTGCACCCTTTTCCTGCTAAAGGCCCCCACAGCGTGCTAGATGGGGGCAGAGGAAAGAGCACGCTAAAGCTCTACAACTAACGGGGGCCAGGCAGAGGTAAGGTTCGACTGAGCCCGGTAACTCCTATATCATGAACAGTCGCAGCCTTGGCCTTGCTCCATTTTTGCCTGCTTCGCTCTGCGCTCAGACTGCCGTGTTTATACACAGCCCTGACAGGATTTCATCAATATTTGCTTAGCCAAGTACATGCTTTAAGTTATGAGCGAAATTCTCCTTTAATGAGCTTGCCAAGTTCCACTGCTGGCTTAGCATTTCCTTAAGCCGACACATGTCAGCAAGCAGGTGACCTGCTTTTGGGATTCTCTCGTGGGAAGGAACAAATCTGATTTCTGAGCCAACGCTGCATTCCCCAAGCACCTCACAGGCTACAGGGAAAAGGCAGAAATGAGCCAGCTGCTGGTATATGCCAAAGGTAAGAGCTTTGAAACCCTCAGGTAACACTGCAAGAAGCCATGACAGGGGAAATTATCCAAATAAGAATTGACAGCTCTTCATCTCAGTCATACGTGATATTATACCAGATGGTAGAAGGTGCTGAAAACAAGGTGGTAGACAAGAGAAGATCAGGGAATCAGAGAACAGGAGGCCTTGCAAAAAGCTCAGAAATCACCATGTTCTTGGTTTAGCCCAGCCCATGAACACTGGCCCATCAGCCAGTAGCCCCTAAATGATTTTGTGATGTCTGCCCAGTGCTAGTGGGGTCCTCGCCTGCCGGGCCACCACCAGAGCTCCTCCAGTCCACAGAAACCAGCGTAGCCCTTTATGGCTCTGCCTTACAGAGGCCACAGCACTCACCTGCATCCCTGCATGTAGCTGGTGTGCCATGGAGCTGCAGGGGGCAGGGAGACTGTCCCCCAGCGGGGGCATCCCACGGCTGCCGCCATGGGAAGGCACGGGGCCTGCCTGCCTCGCAGTGGAAGATGAGCTGCTCCACAGGAGAAGAAAAGTACATGTCCAAAGTGCTTTCTAGAAAAGGAAAAAAAAAAAAAACCCAAAACTCCCCCAAACCAAAACTTGCATGCTTCTTGTAGTTTTGTTTTTACCAAAATTCAAGGCATTTCCTTGAAATGGAAGTATAGTTTTCCTGTAAAAGAGAACTGGCATTTATTGCTCAACTCTACCACGCTAGTTTTACATGGAGAACTTAAGGTGGAGGGACAGGAACTCAGAAAGTGCGAGCTCAAAGACAAGACGTTGTGACAGAGCAGCTTTTGATATTTTCGAATGTTTCTTTGCTTATGTTCAGTTTCTCAAAAACATGGGTCATTTGCAAATGTTTTCAAACTCTCAGATCCCTGAGCATGCTGCTGCTGCTCTTCCACCTGCAGGGAAAGATATATTTGCGCAGTTAGAGAGGTTCAGAATAGCACAGATCTCTTCGTAGGGGTCAGTAATTCTTCTTACACCATGCGCTTGACAGGAATTGGCTTAGGGAAGTCCAAGTAATAGCAGTACTTAAAAAAAAAAAAAAAAGAGGATGTGAAATGATGATTAAAAAAAACTGGAAGATCTGCATGTAAACTCTCTATAAACTGCATTCACTTCAGTTCTCCAGACAGGAAACTCTTTAAACAAAATGAAGAAAGAGACCATTACGTTAAGTGTTTGTGTGCTTTCCAAGCTTCACTGCTCCACTCAAACGTCAAGTCCAGACCCATCACCCACATAATTTTGAAGGTAGGTTCCCAATAGTTTTCACTACTCTTCAATGGGCCTGTCAACCACAGGAAGACTGAAGAAATGCTCCGACAGACCGGTGTTTCTAACTGGCCGGTTATGACTCTGGGGAGACTGGTTTGGCCCCAGCACCCTGTAGACACCATATGTGGGGGAGGGAGACATCTCCGACCACGTGTGTGTATAATTCCTCTGTCTGTCAAAAGGCCCCGACTCCTGTTGTTTGCACATTGAGACGCACACTTCTGGCACACCTAGGCCTTCGGGCAGATTCCAGCTGTGTTTGAGAAAGCAGCAAAAGAGAGGGGAAATACTTGCAGAAAATTCTAAACAAAATATTTAATCTTTCCATTCAAAGTAATGTTCTGCAGTCACTTTTGACTAATATTGAACTATTGAAGTGTAATTTTCACATGCAAGACCTTGCCATGGTCTCCTTTCAAGCTTACATCAGCTTGAAATTTCTCTTCCTCCCTCTTTTTTCAGCTTTGCCACTAAGCCATAAGTAATCAAGTCTCTTAGTACTCTCATGTTTGACAGCACTCCTCTTCCTCTTCCACATATTTTGGAAGCTAGCTACGCCAAACGCATGCTTGAAAACACAAAGTCAAACACTGTTGTAGTACTGATGCATAATGCATAAAAGCCATTCATCTTTGGAGAAGTTTCAAAATGAAACTCAGTGGCCCAGTCTAATTCATAACTGTTTATTGTAAATCACTCGAGAGTTTACACATCATTAATGGCAAAGTAACACTGTTAAAACACCTGCCGGATGAAATACAGAATAAAGACAACTTTTTTATATTATATGGCATCATTTAGAAAACAAGAAACAACAAAAAAAAGAATTTTTATTTATTTATTTATTTTTTCAGTTCTACATCTTTCCTGAAAATATCTGGCCTGACTCTCAGTTATCCTGAGATCACTGCCTTGCCCGGGATGTGGATCTGAGGAAGCCAGGAAATGGGCATTCCCTCTCAGGAGGGGCAGAACAGTGACCTTACATATAAATGAAAATCATGCCCTCTATCTTCAAAAGTGCTCCAGTGCTGACAGTACAAAGTTTCTCTCCTGCACTGGCTAACATCTAACACAAAAGGCTATATGTCCCACTAATTCCACATGCTTTTTTTTTTTCTTTTTCTTTTTCTTTTTTTTTTTTTAAACAAGGCAACTGTTAAATTCAGAAGCTATGTAACTGTCTTTATATTTTGCTCAGAAACCAATGGATGTTGCATGCAGCTGAAATTTTAATAGAGACTCTGACTTGGGTAAAGGTCAGCTTTCAAAGACCCGATAGTCAAAGGCAGAAAAAGAAATTAAGAGGCTTCTTGTGCAAAAGGAGCTAAAATATGCATGCATCGATGGCCATGACTGATCAGAACATAAGTTAGGTCTCCAAACATGGAAATCGAAGCTTTATTTGGCTTAAGACATTGTTGAGCTCTATACCTTTACAAATTACAACGTATATGCAACAACAAAGGAATCATCTCAATGTTAGCATCAGTTTGTATTTTGGCCTGTATAGAGACTAATTTTCAACACAAAAGCCTGCTCAGCAGAAAATGGTTTTCATGTTTAGCAAAGACAGTAGCGCGTTGGTCTGGCTAACAGGGCTAACATAAAGAAGAAAGTAGATTTTCAAACAAACGTCTAACTAATTTTAGGCCGATTATTCCCCTTACACATACTGTACATAGCACAACACAGTGCTGTTAGTGTTCCTTTCCATTAGTTTGTAGCTGAAACAGCACACTGGGCCCTGACTTGTCCCCTCCAAGAAACGTGTCTCAAAAGCATGTTCGATGAATAGTAGAAACAAAAACTTTCCCCTGAACTGCACTTGAAAGGATAGCTAGTTCCTCAAACCTGCCAAGTTTACCAGGAACAAGCAAATTACAATGTATTTGGACAAGAACTACAGTGACTAAAACCAAATCTCTCTCATGTTTAACGCTAATATTAAATAATATATAACATTTTTACACTTACTAGTCTGAAGTTTGGACATGAGACAGCTAATAGAGGAAAAAAAAGCTGGGGCTGAATCTTTTCCTGAGAGAGTCACCTCAGGAATTGTTTTGGCCCAACTGATCTGAAAAAACTAATTTTTACCAGAAGAAAATAAATCCAATGCACGCACAAGGGCATGCGTACACCTCCCCCCCCCCAACACACACATATACAACAGCACTGACATACAGAGAAGCGTTACTCTTTTAAGCACTGCCATCTCCAGTCCTTTCTTTGCGAGCCTGGATCATCTCCTTTGGAGCCTGTTTTCGGTCAGTAACTAACCCCAACCAAAACATGAAGTCAATGAACCAGGTGGTTGGGTTGAACTTCAGGCCCAGCTCACTGGCTGAGTAGTCGAATGGGAAGGTGTGGTGGTAGTTGTGGAAACCCTCACCTGGAAAAACAGAGAGAGAGTTTGAAGGCTGCACGGCCAGCAGGTTTATGCATTTAAAGATGCACTTGGGTGGGACATCCCAGTGCCTGCTTCCCAAGTCCTCGATCCAGGCCAGGTCATGCTCTGGTCACATCCGGCTATGAGAGACCCGACCCCTGGGGCAGACGCACAACCATTACCCAATGCTTTGGGTTTTGCTTTCCCAGAAGAAAGAGGGATGTTTCCCGCCCCAACACTCGGAGAAGAAAACTAGATGCGCTTCGAAGGGGGAGACTCATAACCGAGCAAGAAGCAGAGCCTCTTCTTTATATTCTGCTGTCCTCAACTGACTGTTGAAAACAGTAGATTGCTGCCATGAGCAGATTGTCTTTTTGGAGTTCAGTTCAGCTGTTAGTCTTAGTTCCCCCACCCCGGAAAGGCTGGAGCTCAGGCAGACGCCTGTTAACCCCAGTGCTTGGGAGAGGGCCTGGGAGGCCACGTCTGGGCACGGCTCTGTAGGCTTGCAGGAGCTATTCCAGCTGGCAGCCACGGAGAACTCAGTCCACTCCTGCTCGTACTCCCTTGTGAGGGCAATGCAGAGCAAGCATCTGCCTGGGCTACTCAGACCCAGGGGCTCCTTGGTCACCAAGATCCACTCATGTGTGCACCAAAGCTCAGGACTGACACACCTCCCTTCCCGTGACTCAGAGTCCCCAGTAGGCACATCAGGGCAACAAATAGCATTATTTCAGTGCCTTCAATGTGGGTGCCGTAGCAGAACAAAGGAGCCATCCTCTAGGATACGGCTCCAGCCACCTCCAAGCTCTGGCTGAAAGTGGTGGCCAGGTACAGACTTCCAAAAACACTGGCCAGGGTGAAACAGGACTGGATGGGGGGTTATCGCTCCAAGCCTGCAAACCTCTAACTGTAGCTGTGGCTTCCGCACCGCATCTTTCAGCACTCACCAATGGCTCCCAGAGTGACGAAGGAGTTCTGCCTGGGACTGATGTACTTGTCGTAAGGGCGGTTGCCGTACATGTGAGCTGCACTGTTGACCAGCCAGGTGACGTTGAGGGAGATGGTGTACCGGAGGATGGAGGCGAGAAAGTAGGCGTTCCACAGACTCTCGCCCCAGAGGTACCACGGCACGAAGGTAGGGATCACAAAGCACATCAGCACTACCGAGCTCTTATAGTACCTATATGGGAACAAAGGACACCCTTGCTGTGCTGGGAACAATGGCTGGGAGAGCTACCGGCTTGGATCGCTGGAAACACGGGTCTGTCAGAAACTCCTGGCATAACCTAGGCTAGCCCTGTAATCTCTCTTTGCGCTGTCCTCACTGCTATAAAGTGGAAGGACATCACCGCAGCCAAGACACTGCAGAGGGGCTCATCTTTCAGGGTTTAAATGGGAGCGCTCCAAGTGAGGCACCTCTGTCTTTGGAGCGCTCATCTATCGTTGACGATCCTAGCTGGGCTGAAACAGTCTGAACCCAGGACCTCCACATCTATCGATCTGCATGAATGAGGATACATGTGCCAAGACTTGCCTAGGGCTTAGTACCATCATCAGCTACTGAGAGCTAGGAGAGACTCTGGCTCTTATTTTTGTCCTCTCAGAATTAGGGACCTGAACGCTGACCTCTTCTGAAAAACACCAGAAGATGTGTGGAACGTAAATGCTGTGTAAGGGACAGCTACTACTATCAGACGCTAAGGAAACATGCCAGGAAAAGAATTGCAATGAATAAATGAACTATTCCAAGAATGGAGTAAACAGCTCCAGTTAAAAACCCATTTTTTGCATGTCAAACTGAAACACCAACTATATCCCAGTTGATATTAGCTATATCAATTTTTGTGGAGCTCAAAATGCTCTTTGTTTTTTGTTTTTGTTTTAAGAGATAAACTAGGTCGATGTCTCAAGAGCAGTATTATGGAAAAAGAAAAAGTTGCAAACCATCCCAATTTTTACCTTTCAACACAGATTTCAGCATCATTAACACTATGGATGTCTCCAAACAGTACCTAGAAACACTTGCTGGAAACCATCTGCCATTAGGAAGCTAACAAGCAGTTTTTCATTTTTAAAAGGCTGCCCTGCTACCTCATCCCAACCTTGGAAGGCAGATACCTCAGCATTTAACAGCTCCAACAGCCCTTGCCAAAGAAAAACACGAAGCTGAATTACTCGTCAGCAGCCCAGCCAACGTGTTGCTTGCTCAGCATCAAAAAAGTCAGCTCTTCCACCAAAAACAGCTGCCGCAGTGGGCTCCAGGGTTCTGTTTTAGTTCTCCGTCTTTGTATCGCTGTCAGGGCTCTCAATAGCTTACATGGAACGTGTGTCTGTTTCCATCGTTCGTTGCCCAGTGTGACTGGGATGAGTTAAGTGAAAGGCTCTGCTGGGAAGAAAGGGAATACCCATACAATGGGGACGTTTTCTAGCTCTGCCAGAGTGAAAATTGTGCCAACTTCAACCTAAGTGTCCAGAAGGACAAATCAGATAACGTGTGTCACAGGAGGAGAAGGACCAGCACAGCAGGGAACGTTTTGGATACTCAGAACCCATATGACAATTTTTTCTGAGAGAGATTTGAACTGCAGAGACAGCCTGAAACCCCAAAGCAGCAACTAATGCTGAGCTTAACACTGCAGACTCGGTCCCCAGAACCAAGCCCCTGAGTTCAGCACCTTTAATTTTGGGGAGGTTCAGAGCTGGCTGCAAACCCTGCAGCTGGGACTGATTTTACTCAATTGACCCACTACATGCAAAAGCCATTCTGATTTTTTCCACCCACTGGTACTCCCCCATAAAGTAGAACGGGCACAGAGATTTTCTTCTCCTTTCAAATGAAAAAAATCACCCTTTCTGAGCAAGAAGTCTCAGTTTTCAATGGCTGTTCTGGCCATGCACAGGGAAGGTAGGAATTCGAGACACATTCAGAGCAAGGGCTCAGTGCAGACAGCAACACAACATCTCTCCTACTCTCAGCCCGGTCCTCAGCTCTGAGACAGCAGGTCTAGTTTTGCTTCCTGTGTTCTGGGAGGAAACAAAGGCCCAGAATGAGACACCTGGCTCCGAAGGGTTCAGCCAAGCCTGGAAAATGCATATGATCGTATATGGCAAGGAAACAAACAAAAAAAAAAAATTCAACACACAGAGCAGTGGAGGGAGGAAGCTGAATAGTCTGAGAAGGAAGACCAACAGGAGAGCTTTACAGTAAAAGCCAAGCCATATGCTCAGGCAAGGCAAGGGAAGAGGGAGTGTAGGAAGTAGAGAGTGCAGAGGTGAAGAGCAGAGACCATAGTGGGAGAAATGAGGAGAAAAAGGAGCCAACAAGCCAGGGAGAATGATTCAAAGAGAAATGGAGGAAGGGAGCAGCTCTGCAAGAAGAGGGTAGGAAAAGCCAAGAAAGTGGAAATGAACAGGAAATAAATGACTATTACTGGAGAACGGGCTAAGCGCACTCAGAAGCAGAGAGCAGCAAGACAACAGAAAGGGCCAGTAAGTGGGGGCTTGGTCTTACAAACCTACTACAGTGTGTCCCCAGCTTGAGAGGCAACATGGCCCCGTCCTCCCTGCTGAGCCATTCCACGTCCTTGGAGCCCAGATTTACCTACATCCTATAGTCATCCCAGGGTATCATCACAAAAGAAAGTGGCCACACACAACTGGAGGGGCAAGCAACACGATTGTCAAAGGATGAAGGAAAAAAGAGGAGAAAAAAAAAAAAGTATAAGCTAAAAATGTGTTCCCTTGTTCCCATCTGACAGCTTTAAAATAGACCCCTGCTATTGTTGAGAATTTTCTGGAAGGGATGAGAAAGAGCAAAGGTTTGGTCTTAGTTGAACGGTTACTAAAACTTTTCATTTACCAGCAATTTTTCAGATCGCAAAAACTGTCGATTTGGTTTGACAAAAAAAAAAAAAATCCTTTCAAGTTTCAGTTAACAGCCACAGGATGTTGAAAAAATATTAGCATTGGCAGCATTTCTGGAAGAAAACAAGTTTCCATGAACATAACTCTCATCTAAAACACACCAGCCAGCTTTGATAATCTTGTGTATGAAATAAATTAACCCCATGCTTTGCAAGCTCTCAGTTTGATTTGTTTTGTTTGAGGCTGTGCCTCAGATGCTGGGCTCCAGATGAAGAACTACAGCTCTGCAGCTACACAGAGCATGGTGAGAATAAGGCATCTTCACAGCTCTCTCATAGGGCTCTTTCTTCACCCATCTGAAGCAAAACTCTTCTAAGGGGAAAAAAAACCCATTCTTCACTCCACCAAAAATAATGGAAAATTTCCCACTGACTCCTGAACTAGGTCCTGGATAAGGCTTGCAAACGTCATCAGTTCAAGGCTAGAGATTAAGCTGGATAGTAAAGATTTTTTCCGTTCTAGAAAACTCTTTCAGAGATTAAAACTTTTCCCACTCAGCACTGAGACAAAAGAGAAAAATTACCAAAACAGCTAATCAGGCACTGATTAAAGCCCTTCTGCGAGACGCAAGAATCTCAGACTGAGGTCTTTAATTAGGACATGAGATTCCAAGTCCAAACGGAACGTGAAATATCTGCCTAACTGCAGATATTTTGCTACTTCAGGATCTGTCTCCCTCTGACTGAAACAAACTGGAACTGATAAATCTCCTTGCATAGATTTGGGGGAAACTGACACATTTCCATGAAACAGTGCTAGGTTGACCAAATCAGTCCTCTAATGAAAATGCTCCACCTGTGAGCCTGTCTTTTACATCGCATGTTGTTCTTCAGGATTGTCACATTGTTATTCACAGAGGGTTAAATTCTGCTGGCAGTCACACCTGAAGTGGTACAGTGATTTCAGCCGAAGCATTGAGGGTTTAAACTGTTGATGGAGTAGTACCTCATCCACAAGTTATCAGCCCCACTCAATTCAGTAAAGCCAACAATCTGGCCTTAAAACAAAACACGACAAAGAGGAAGGGTTTACTATGATTTCTACTGATCAAACCTGTTAGCTCTTCTAGACTGTCAGAAACAAACAAATAAACAAAAACAAACAAAAAAATCCCACTTCATCCTTATAAAAAGGATGGAAGTGTAATTTTTCTTCCAAGGGGAGGAAAGGCAAACTCTAGAAGTCCTGGCCCCAGGAGTTTGGGATATCTGTCTTTGGGGCACTACCATACAGAGGAACTCAGTTCTGGCGCCCGTTTTCTAACCTGGTTACAATTGGTCACCACTGACCCCCTCCTCCAGGGGCAAATACAGTGCTGAAAATGGGACAGAGCTTGTGAAATGCTAAACTGAACTGAAGGGGAGCTCCAAGTGTTTAACCTTTTGGAGGGACAAGTCTTCCCATTTACACTAACACTCTCATTGAAATGACTGCTCTGTCTGCAGAGATCTGTGTTAAGTACAAGAGCACAAGACTGAGCTAACACAGGAGATGCTGATAATCAGAGCAAAGACATTTAGTAAAGCAAAACTTGCCTGCACCAAACGTAACTGATCGCTACATAATGTCTGCGGCATGACCAACGCAGAAAAGCCTGCTTCTTGTAGGATGCAGTTGTCTTGGCAAAGGAAACAAAACAGCCAAGAGGTACTGTAGCAAGGGAAGCTTTGCGGACACCCACTGCTAACATACAAGCCAGTATAAGTGACAAAACAGGTGGAGGGTAGTGAATTTGGCTCCTCTAATGCAGGGGTAATTCTGATAGCGTGCAGCTTTCTCCAATGCAAAAAAAAAAAAAAAAAAAAAAAAAAAAGACATGCATTTCAGGACTCCATTGACTGCCCCCTTTGCTCATGAAACGCCCAGAAATGCAGTTCTGTGGTTTGTAGTCACTGAAGCAAATGCTTGCTGCCAGACACAGTCCTCCATTTGTTCCTGTAATGCATTTCACTCATGTAGAGGACAAAGCACGCTGCTCAATTCCCACCTCTCTGTGTGTAACAAGCTGAACTTGGTCTGTGTTAATTCTCAGGGCACATGATTAATTATGCAAAGAATGACAGGCCTGGAAGAGGAAGCACTTGGCCCGAGCTGGCACACAGGTGCCAAAGATGAGTTTGCAAACGGAAATGTGCAGTTTTGCATTAAGACAGTTAGCGATTACAGTCTTTGCTCCATTGATCAAATGAGAACGCCAAGATCCTAGCAGCTTCTGCTGTGGCTGTTCTGACAGCCAGCCCTGGCTTTTTGGAAGAGCACAAGGACAAGAATAGAGCAAATCTGCTTGCGCACCAGAGCCTGCAAAGACAGCCGGTGAGCCTCAGCAATGCAGCTATAAGGAAGGGAAGGAGAGTAGCAGTCCTACTGCCTGCAAAGTGGCAGGGATGTCTTGGGGGAAAAAAGGGAAAGATGAAAATAAAGAAGGAATCCAAACCAGGCAGTGATCCTTCCAAGCTGCATCACGCGACAGCCAAGCGCTCCCACTTACTTTCTTTGGAACCTGACGACGGGATCGTCCAGCAGGTCAGTGAAATCCAGTTTCCTCCCCTTCTCTATGACGTCCCGGTGCTTACGCACAAACAGCCAGCCAATGTGGGAGAAGAAGAAGCCGCGGCGGGCATTGTGCGGGTCTGCATCTGTCTCCGAGTACTTGTGATGAACGCGGTGGTCTCGGCTCCACTCATAGATATCGTTCTGCACAGAGAACAGGGTGGGATGAGAGGAGAGAGGGTGGGTGCTGCTTTGGCAGGACTGCCTCCTGCTCCCTTCCCACGTGGAAACAGCAACCAAGCCCCACACTGATGCTTTTCAGTAAACCTTATCAGCTAGAGGCATTTTGAGGGACCCTAGCTTTGCAGGGAGACCACCAAATCACAGTGCTCACAGCAGTGCCCACACTGAATGGGACATGCTCTGGGAACCAGTGACACACACTGGACACAACCTGGGACTGGAAAAGGCCTTGGGCCAACAGCCTCTGGCAAAACATCATCAGCCTGCCCTAGTCTTATGTCCTTCCCTGGGCGTTTGCGGTCAAAGGATGAACCTGGTACATTCATGTCTATGTTCTTACTTTACAACCTGGCCCCAGGAGTTCGGGATATCTGTCTTTGGGGCACTACCATGCAGAGGAACTCAGTTCTGGCACCCGTTTTCTAACCTGGTTACAATTGGTCACCCACTGACCCCCTCCTCCAGGGGCAAATACAGTGCTGAAAATGGGACAGAGCTTGTGAAACGCTAAACTAAACTGAAGGGGAGCTCCAAGTGTTTAACCTTTAACAAGACTTTAACAAGTCTTTCCCATTTACACCAACACTCTCATTGAAATGACTGCTCTGTCTGCAGAGATGTGTGTTAAGTACAAAAGCACGAGACTGAGCTATCACAGATGCGCCTACCTTATGGGAAACCAAGTCTTGCGTTTACAGACAAGCGGGAATAATAGTCTCAGTCCCATAACAGCAGCTCAGCATTCGATCCAGAGCAGATACAAACTAAGTTCAGTGCTGTCTCTGCTAAAGCTGTCAGCAGATAAGGGTCGCTGAAATGCCCTATGGCTGTAAAGGGGATTAGGTAGACTGCAGGGAGGAAGGGATGGACCACAATTTCAGACCAGGATCCTTAAAGCGAGGCACTCAAAATTTACTCGACCAGAAGGATTTCAGCCTTCCAGTTTTCTCTGCAGGATGCATTGGCTTGCAGACAAAACCATTTGTTTTCTTCAGTGGTGATGAGCTATTACCATAGGGACTCGTGTGTGCAATGCTTTCAAAAATTAGGCCACACGTTTGGGCACTCAGCTATGAATTCAGTTGCCCGACATTAGCACCGAAACATGAATATGTTAGTTTATACCCAGATCTGGAACAACAGTATGAGCATTAATCAAAAAAATGCTTAGCTGAGTGTGGCTTTCTCTCCTTCTTCCATTCTTGCACATCCAGAGAAGTAGCCAAGCAGTAATACCCAAAGAAGCAAGGGTTTGGGTTGATTTTAGGAATAGCAGTAGCACCCACAACCACAGCAGCTTTCCTCCTAGCAGACGGAGGTGCCTGTGAAGGGCCCACCGTGCTACAACAATCGAGACAGAGAATATACTGCAGGACACAGTAAGCCCAAGCTAACGGCACTGTTGTCCACATGCTGTGAGACAAGAGCCATATGCTGAAAATATAGCAGAAATCATTGCTTTCTCTCAGCTGCCACTGTTTAAGAGTGCTGAGGCAGCCAGCGCTGGTGAGAGGGACTCCAGCAACAGCTGCTAATGGCAACTAGACAATCTGGACAAACGTGTCGGTGTTCAGTATCAGCATCATAAAGATGCTCTCTGCGAGAGCCCCTAAGTGAAGAACAAAAGCCCCTAAAGATCCTTAACTCAGCCAGAGCTGTACTCGGTGGTACTCGGCTCTCAACTGCTGTCATGCTGTGGCCAGCCGAGGCTGGCTGATGAGGTTGCAGTAACTGTGGGAGTGAAGTGGATTGGGGAAGAGGGCAACGTTTTTCTGTAACGCCAACCTGTGTCAGTCACTGAGATGTGGAAGTAAAGATCAGCCCCTTATCAGCATTCACGTACGCCACACCTCAACTATCCCATTGCAGAAGAGAACAAAGTAAACTTGAAGTAAAGCAAACCCAAGGAAGGCACCCAACTCTTCAGTGCGAACAAGGGGAGATTTTTACCTTGCTTCCGTTTTACTTTCTCCTGCAGAGAAATCAAAAGGAATGAAAGCCTCCACACTGCTTCAAGTGGCAGATTTATTCTTCGCTGGGAGTATCCAGAAGACGGGAAAACGCTAAGATTAAGTCATTTAAAAACACAACACGATTATGCAAGGAGCACACCTCAGAAAGGTCCTCTTTCTTAAACAGAAATGATCTTTCAAATGAGACTATTGATCATTACACTACAAGAGTACTTGATAAAATTATTTGTGGCACAGCAGATAACCAGGTCAAGGCAATAATAGTGTGAGAAATTAGCTTGGCTTTTCATACCACAGCAAATTCCTGCAGGGCTGGCAAAAAAGACGATTCCCCAGATGAAAGCATTAGGAAGCTGTGAAACAACGGAATTGCATCTAATTAGGAGGCACAAAGGCTAAGAGGAAGCAAAGGCCAGAGGCCAGAGCTGTTGGCAATAAGTATACAGACAACTGGAGCACGGCATGTGCAAACGTGCTCCGAGTGTATTAATAACAACCGTTTTTCAGGAATGTGTCAGTCTTGATCAAATTTCAGGTAAACACAAGAGCGAAATCCATTCCAAAGCAGAAAGTGGCAGAATCACACTGTGACAGCGATACAGACAAGAGCTTTTATTAGCGAGTCCCTTGATACATCTGCAGACCAACACCTGACAACAAATTGGGCAGCGTAACCAACTCAATGCGCTGTCAGGAAATTTCCAAGAACCGCTTGTAGCTCAGCGCAAAATGCTCACAGCACAGCTGTTAGCGACTGCTTGTGTTCAGCCGAACACACACCTTGTTTTGTAGAGAGGGCAAGAAGCAAGTGTATGGAACAACGTTACAGGGGCAGATGTCAGGGGAGGCACCACAATGTCCCGACTGAAATGGTGAACTTTTAAACACCAGGAAATCAAGTCAACACAAACCAGGTATTACCCATTTCTGAGAAAAACATGTGACAGCAAGAAGCACAAAGTCTTTTAAACTTACAAGAGCTTAAGTAATGCTAGATGAAGGGATAAGAATCAGTTCAGCGTGCTCCAAGCATAACAATGCATCGGGATAACCGCTGCATCTGATAGGATCTCACAGAGAGTGTAGCACATGACAGTCACATGCAACATAAAGTTAAAACTGCTCAGCCAAGGTTCCAGTGCTCCTAAAGTAGGCTGAATATCGAGGAAGCCAACATCCAGGGAGGCTGGAAGTCTCCAGTGCTACCTCTTCCTCCCAACGCCAGTGCTGGGGAAACTGACAGGAACACTCGCTCCTTCACGAGTTGCTCGTGCTGGTCAAAATGGACTTCTGCGGGCAAGGAGGTAACGAGGAGAAAGAAGGCTTCAGACTGCTTAAATCAGAGCGGGTGATTTGGCCTTTGGTTTTCCTTCCAACAAAGAGAAGGGTACAAAGGTTCCTTGAAGCCACTTTGAAGTACTCCCCTGTCTCAGATTCGTACCGTGTTTGCCTCAGCAAAAAGCAATGATGAGGCCAACACAGCTGAGAGCAAAATCCATAGCAACAGGGGAGCAGGAGGCAACGAAATCACAACAGTCAGGCTCACTGCAATCCAGCTTGACATGGATTCATTTGAATTGAGCATGAAAGATAAAATCTGCTGCAAAACAGGAGGCCGGTACCAGGGGGTTCTTAAAAAACTCCAAACAGTTGTTTAACATGCTGAGCAAAGGTTTTGTCAAGCTTTGCAAGGAACAGAGAGGCACTAAGCAGCTGGAACATGACTCAGAATAAAGGAGAGCTATAGCTAAACTCAACATCTCCTCAACGTATTCACATGAATGCATTGTGCTCTTTGTAATGTGAACAGGGATTAATGAGATTAATTCTCTCCACTTTAAAAAGGCGGCAAATCAAAGATAATAAAATGAACAGTACAGAAGCAGATAAAGGGACTCACTTCCTCCTCTCTCGAGGTGCAAGAATAACAAGTCACCCCAACAGATTGAAGGGAAAAAGATGAAAACTCAAAGCACAACTCACAGAGCACAACACACCTGCGGAACTCAGTGCCATAAGAGGTTATGGCAGTCAAGCTAGATAACATTTAACATCAGTACAGAGACATGTATCTGTTCTGAGAGCCATGTTAGCCAAAAAAGTAGTATGTTTAAAATTGAGAAGATCCTGGTTCTAGTCTGATTCCTACCACCAGCTGGGTGTTACAGGTAAGTTTTGAAGTCTGAGATTCCCTATCAGTAAATACAGATAGTCACACTTCTTTGCAAAGGTATTGGGATTCTACTGATGAAAAATACTGTATAAAATAGAGATAAAATAAGACTGTGTAAAAAGATGCCTGCTCTCATTTCTGGGTACATGAAACAATCTCTAACTGCCTGGCTGGACAAAGAAACCTCATTACAGATGTGGCTGCATGCATTTAGCTTTTACAGAGGTTTCTACGTTGTCCTGTGAAGTGTTGAGCGTGTCCTGGGTCAGAGACAGGCCACTAGCGTGCTGAACCTCTGACCTGTGCGTGTTTGACTTGGCCCTTAAGTAATCATTGTTCCTAGACTGCCAAATGCATATTGCTACGTGTGTGGTGAGATGGTCTGTGTATCCCAGAGCCAGCACAGGCTCATGATCAGCAGACGCCTTGCTGCTGCTATTTTTCCCTGTTGATGCCTCTAAGCTGAAGAGATCCCTTCACAGGAAACAGAGCTGCCTGGAGGCCAAAAATCAGGACAGGTAACCACAACCCCACCTGGAAAGCCATGGAGTTAGCTGCCGCCAGAAAGATCCGCAAAGGCAGCTTGGCTTTGTAGGAACGGTGACTCCATAAGCGATGCGCACCCGCTGTCACGCCCAGGGCCGTCATCAGGAAACAGAAATATGCTGAAAGACAGAAGACAAAACACAGGATGTGCTGGGGGCCAACTGCCATTATTTTGATTTCTTTGATGAAAAGATGATTCTTGCCCCTGCCTGCTGACGCCCGCAGGGACACTCAGAAGATGAGGCTGGGCAGACAGGAGACAAGGATCTCGGCCCAGCTCTGCCCTGGCTCTGCCCAGTGGCCCCAGGGCCACCTCATTCCACCTCCTACCCTTTTCCACTTAGACGGTGCACTGTTCAGGAGAGTTTGGCAGCACTGAAGCATCACGTCCCGACTTATTTATGCCGTACACCTTTGCCAAATATAGTGGAGAGAAGCTTCATCGTTCGTGTCAGAAGAGCAGCCACGACTCTTCTAAAAGGACACTGCCTGCCTCCTCCAGGCACGTCTTAGCTTGAGTCTGATCTGCCAGCTCACTGAGGACCACCCTGAAAAATGGCCTGTTATAGTTTCCACAATAATAATTCCTTTTATCATTGAGAGCTTATGCCTTGGTAAATGAAAGGCACCAGGAAGCTCAGCATTCACAGTGTCCCTCACCTTCCGGAACTTCTTGTCCTTTCCTGTTCCCTTAATTAAAAAATTGTCCAAGTAAACTGGTTTGAGTATTTTTTCAGATGGCCAACACAGCAAGGAAACGGATCTGTTCCTTACTCATCGCACTCTGGCTCCAGGCTAGATGCATCGCCAGAGCACGCGTGTGCTTCAGTGCACCCCCCAGTTGCTTAAAATAATACCACCACCTCCACCCAACAAGATCGCAGCAATGGTACATCCCCAGTTCTCCTTTGAGAAAGGACGCGCACTCACGCATGGCTGGCTAGTTAAGCCCATGTTTGAGCAGGCACAGGGAAGGGCTGGTGTGGCATCAGAACAAGACAGAGGTCCTTCTGGGGTCCGCTTGGCCCAGCCATGCATCTGTTCACCGATAACTTTCTTTGATGTTCTTGCTGTTATTGTCTCTAGTTTCTCTGAATTCACGTGTGATGGATGATGCATAGCCTGGGTTGTTTTGACTCACAACAAAAGAGGAGACCATGGGAAAGGGCTAGAAGAACAGAGTGTTAGAGCCACTCGTCTTTTAGAGACAGGCTAAAATGGGGACAGCAAGGAGGAAAGAATTTTATAAATCCCAAATAAACTGGACCACTTGAACTATTCACATTCAAGCTATCCAGCTGTCACGATATATAGACTATTTTCTCCCTCCCATACAAAGTGTTTATTTCACATACCATGTCTAAAGAGTATACGCTTGTTTTACATGTGTAAAATTAAAACCAGAGCGGATTCAAACAGGAATTTCAAAAGACAACCCCAAGTGAGTTTGCATGGTCTAAGGCAACGCACTGTTCAGCTAGCGCTCCCTGCCACCTGAAAGACACAGGCATGTTTTGCTTATAACAGCCTATTTCAAATACCTAAGTAGAGTTATTGGAATAAAGAAAGGAAAATCCTATCTGTGAAAAGGAGTTTTCTACTCGTGTCTACGTCTGCACAACTGTCTATCCAGCAGGGAACCCTGCGGAACATGCAATAGCCTGAAAGGAATCGGTAATCGGGTCTTGCAGTATTTAATGTAGAACATCTACTCTGCACAAAGAAAATGAAAATACGCATACATAGATGGGTAGATACCATGGGTATCTACCCAGGGTAGATACTGTGTCCCTCTATTAAATCCAAAGTCATAGTGCTTGAAGTTATAGTGTGTAAGATAAAATACAAGAGAAAGGTATCTGGTGAAATAACGGTAACCCTATTTCCTGTCGATTGTCACCTCTGCAGTCTCAAGAAGCAAATGGGACCTTATCCACTCCGCTGGTTCATCCATCAAAAACAGATTTACCCCAACTATTTCACATTATGTATACAGCGAAAACTCCTTCCACTTCCCACAAAGCAAACCAAAGCCTTTCTCATAAAACATAACAGACAAATAGAGTCAAAGTGGTCCTAATAAAGATGAAGCATCTCTAAAAACCAGGCTTTGTTACCACCATTGAAGAGGTGACTCCCTTCTTCAGCCGGCTGCAGTGTCCAGGCTGCTCCCAGAAAAGGCTAATGCGTGCAGGTAAGTGCAACACGCTCAAGTCGGGGACACGCTCAAGTCTATTGTTGAGTTCAGACTTCTGCCTGCTCCCTGAAGGGAGGTACATAATTAAAAGGCATTATCATCCTCTCCACACGTTATTTACAGATTTATTTTTATAACTATCAGTTCAGTAAACATGCTGACACCATAACTAACTTGCACTCCAGTTTCCTCTGCAGTTTGTAGCTGTTTGCAGGTACCTTTTAAGTGCAAGGCCTCAGACTCCTCCCAAAGAACTAGGGAATACCTGTTCTGCCATTTTCTATGTATAATTTCAAGCTGTGTCGGTTTCATAAAGTAAGAAGGTGGCAGAAATGTCATTACATAAGGTCTTCCAAATTGCCCCAATGACTATAATTATGAGAATAGAGGTGTGACACGCAGAATACTGACTTTATCCAGCCAACACAAAAACATTCAGGTTATAGCCCTGAATCACTATAAGAACATATTTTCTAGAGGCTTTATAACTGGAGCAACTGGTTAACTTCAGGCTAGTCAGAAGGGCTGAAATCCTCCACCTTCACCGTCCTTTTCATTTCAGGGGATTAGCACTTTCATATGAGCATCTCTCTCGTGAGTCTTATTTCTAGCATACCAGTAATGAAGGCAGAGGTGTTGTCCAAAACAATATTTTGCTTGGTCTCTCTTACCGCACGCACAGGGCTTCTTCTCCCACTATAAAGCAAAAGACAATTTCTTTGACCAAGCACTTCCCCGGATATCCATCTTAATCATGATCAATTGTACAAAAGCAGAATTAAAGATAGCTGGGTACAAAGGAACATACGCAACATTACAGTGCTATTGATTTCTTTTTCTGTCCAGTGCAAGAAAGAGAGCGGGAGGAGGGCTTGGGTGAGACTGACTGATAATACATGGGCCAGACGAATAGCTACACTGAATTCAATGGATTTATACCACTTGATGAGCCACCTTTCATGCTTTATGCAGCCTAGCTGAAGAGAGACCTCAAGAGCCATACCTTTCATTGACCCTGCTCCAAAACACCCAACACGCCAGCAGAACAGACAACAGCATTTTGGGAGTCTTGGGGCTGTCTTGGGGTGTTTAAGTGCCACCCTGTGTCCTTACCTTTGAACAGCACCTCCCAGCCTAGGCACTCACAGAGAAGCCTTCCTTCGATTCATACCGCAACCACTTAATTGGAAGTCTATGGCTGCAGACAAAAGACAAATTTACATAAAACAGTTCTGCAGGAGTCCCTCTGCTGCAAAAGGCAGCTCTCAGGCAGAAGGTCTTCAGCAACCAGCTGAAAGCAAGCGAGCTGACCTGCACTTTGGGATAGGAAGGGATTGGTGGTGTGGCCAAGCAAAAGGATGCGGGAAGGCTGTTACAGTGGGGGTTTGCCTGGCACACCAGGCTCTTCTTCAAAAGGCCGTGGTCAGGAGCGGTCTGGCTCTCGCCCTTGTGGCTCAGCAAGCAGGCAGGGAGACAAGCCAGCCAAGAACGAGAGCCGAACTGCAAAATCCTAAAGTCCTCAGAGCCTCCCAGAAACAGGCAGTATAGGCAGAATGGGGCTTTCCACAGATTCCCCCGAGTGATGAACACAAGCCCTTTCCTCCTGCCTTTGCAAGCCCCTCAGGGAACCACCAGCCCTAGCCCACACCAGTGAATACCAGCTGTGATAAAGCTAAAATGGCTGGGGCTCATACCCACACAGCATGTCTTTTTTGGCTTTGCAGGGGAGGAATCATAACAGGAGGAATTTTCCTAAAATAAATTCTGAATGCTGAAACATCCCTGGGGGGAAAAAAAAAATACCCAGGAGTCTGGTGACCAGAGCAGAAACAAATCCTGACAATCAAATACACTGCATGGTGAGATCAGATTTCTGCAATTCTTACAGGAATTAGGGTCCCTGAAAACGTTACTTGGCCGCTAATTCCCAATGTAGAAATAGCTAAGAAGTCAAATAGTTGCAGTGTAAAGGTAGGTTCCAGGCTCTCCTCTGCAGAATAGGTTATGAACTCAAACCAAAATCAGGTTACAAACCATTTTATTTTATATTATGTACAACAATGATAACAACAGTAACTAAATGAGAAGAGAGTCACTACTTATCTACCTGGCTAATTTTTTTTGACGTGAACATCCCTATGAAACATATACAAGGATTACGCTGTGGAGAAAAGTTCTTTTAAAAGCTTTATTTATACTGAAAAGTCCTCCTAGATTTGTAGTTGAAGAGATCTCCTAATGAATAAAAAAAAAAAAACATACGTACTGCAGAAACACCTCAACAATAGAGTATTTGTTAATCTAGTGAAGAACTTGATAAATACGGAAGAAACAGCTAAAAAGGCCAAATTAGTTTTCTGGATTTGTGAGCTTATTCTGCAACTGGGCTGACCTTTCAGAGCTCCACCACACACACAGAATGACATTGCAGCATTTCAAGTTTAACTTATTAACTAATAACTCAGCTGTGCTATCTCTTTGTACCTATATATGGGCTTCACACATGATCAGAGGCCATCACCAGTGCCCGAGACTGAAGTCAGAGCACAGATGACAATGCTGTCGAGGAGGCATAACATACTGCTTCTCCTCCCCTAGCCTGGTGCTGCAGAGCTGGCAGAAGAGAAGCACAGGAGAGGGCTGTGCTGGAGCACGACGGAGGAGGCTGTCAACAACCGGTGGCGATAGGAGAGAGGCAACAGCAAGCTGACAGCATCCTCACCCCTAAGAGATGCCCATCTACCAGGCGGAGAGGCATTCCCCCTGGGCTGTCTTTGCCGGGAGGCCGAGCCAGCCCCAACACCGACTGCACAGTGTGCGCTGCTAGGGAAACAAGCAGCACCTGAGGAGCAGGGACAGCAACACGAGGCACACCACCTCTGAGCCATGCCCGCTCCTGGCCTCTGCTGCTTGGTAGCCTGTCCCTCTCTGGCAAACAGGACAGACAGCTGAGACCAACTCTCACAGCAGTCCCCGAGCAAACAGCGCTCCTGAGAGGCAGCGACGTCAGCTCTCCCCCAATCCCAGCCTGCGCAAAGATGGCAGAGCTGCACGCTTAGGGGACTCCCTGGGGATACTGCGTCTCCAGGCAAAAATCTTCGTCCTTCCCTCCCTCCTTCCCCACTCTAATCCCAGCAAGGTACTTGGCTGTATAGCTTCTCTGCTTTTCACCTCACAGCCCCCTTCTCCCACCTCCTGCTCCCTCTCGCTCGCCATACAGCACACAGTTAGGACAGCCAGCAGACACGCATGGCCATCTTTCCACACGCGTGGTCATCTTCGTACTCTGTTTTTCTTTTTTGGTGTTGTGAAAAGTAAGACAGAGCTGCGTAGCTCACAGTTTCATATCAAAGCCAAAGGGAGAGGAGAAATTAGCTTTCAAGCCATTTTCTGATTGCTTGCGCTGAGCTCAAAGGAGTTTTACCTCAATCACGGATTGAGAGCACTGTGGAGCCTCTGCTTCACTGAGTCTCTGGCACAGAGCCATCTCCCTGGCATGGAGCAGAAGTGTGCTACTGGGCTGGGAACGCATCCCAACACTTATTCCACGGCTCTGCAGTCTGCAAGGATAAAAGCATGCCTTAAATCTGCAGCAGGTTTCTCCTCTTCTAGCACATGCGGCCCCAAAAGCAGCTTCCTTCCCGGCCTCAGTTCTTGGTTACCCTGTTAACCGTGAGAATTCATACCTATTCTGTTAAAACACAAATACTTATGTTATTAGGCACATGTCACCCTTGCATACCTCTG